AACTTGGAACTGTGATGTAGACTTTTTTATAATTATGCACATAATTTGATTACACTTATTTGATCTCATATTTCATAAGGGACACTAAACTGAGATCCTGACTCTCTGTGGTCATTTTAAAATCCCAAGATGTTCTTAGAAAAGGGTGTGTCCCCTGCATCCTGGCCTCCATCCATCATTGCGTCCTAACCATTTCCATAGCATAACTGGCTTCATTACTGTGTTTCCATCTACCAATAAGCTGGTGTGTGGTCTGGCACACACATGCAGGTTAATGCGAATTGTGGTAGAATTAGAGACATTGTGTGAAGTAAGCTTCTCTGATGCTCTGATATTTGCTGCAGTGAGTAAGGAAATACAGCTCATCCTCCACAACTCCAGTAGAGCAATGTTGACACAGTCTGAGCTCTGGGCTCCTCCAGCTACACTTGTGTCGGCCCGTCTCCACACTCAGTACCGGCTCATCAGCTTTCTCTGACCAGGGCTCTTAATGTTGGTCAGGTATGGGGCCAGTTCATAACCAGGTTTAATCTGGTTGAAGCACGCCAACTTTTTTATTTGTTGTATTTTATTTTGCCAATTGAGTTTATATTCCTCAATTATTTATATTCCTCAATTCTTCAATATAATCTTTTCTATTTCTTTAGTCTTTATATGTTGGGACTGGGTTTGTGAATTTAGATGGTGTTTTTTCACTAGATAGAGCATGGGGTTGCTGTGTTTTTCTATATTTGAGGGCCTGCTGATGGTAGCTCTCTGGGCTAGAGTCAGACAGATGGAGCCAGAACTTTCCCTGCTCTCTTCTGGATTTCTGAGAGCAGAGGGAACCTGCCTAGTTCTGCTCTGCAACCAAGGCTAGGTGTGCTTCTGTAAACTCCGAGGATGTTTTTGCAAAATTCCAGATAAAAGATTTTAACTGGAGTTTTTCCCAAGATTTATAGTTTAAATGTGGGTCCCCGTACAGCAGGACTGGCTTTACAATGGTGTCACATATTTTCAGCCACAGTTTAATGGGTGGGTTAAACTTAAACTTAAACTTTTTTTAATACAATAAAAAGCCCTGCGTGCCTTAGCAGTCAAGTCTTTTAGAGCTTGACTGAAGTGTCCAGAAGCTGTGATTGTCAAACCCAAATAACTATAAGAGGTTACGTGGTCAAGAATTGTTCCTCTGATTTTAAAAGTGTGTCTTTTTTATCAGCTAGACAAGGTTTTTAAAGAAGATCATGATCTTGGACTTCTGCATGTTAAAGGGCAATGCCCAGTCTGTGCTGAACTCCTCCAAGATGGAGAGACTGTGGTGAAGACCTTGGTCAACCGATAACAGCAGCAGATCGTCAACATACAGGAGACATCTGATCTCTCTGTCCTCCAGGCTCAGGCCTGGACTACAGGACTTCTCAAGTGCTGATGCCAATTCATTGATATAAATGTTAAATAGAGTCGGGCTGAGACTGCAGCCTTGATGGACTCTTTACTCTGAGTGAAATAATCAGTTCACTTATTGTTTATTTTTACACAACACTTGTTCCCATTATAAATGTCCTTTATTATGTCATACTATTTTCCTCCAACTTTACTTTGTAAGAGTTTTAGGAAAAGCCCATTGTGCCACACCAAATCAAAGGCTTTTTTAAAATCAATGAAACAGCAGAATATTTTTCCATGTTTTGTCTGGTGGACATGTTTAAGAATGAGTGATTGGAGTGTATAAATATGATCTGCTGTTCTTTTTTTAGGCATAAATCCAATCTGACTATTATTTAAAATCTTGTTTTCCTGTATGAACCCAACCAGTCTATCCTTAATGATTGAGCAGAATAATTTCCCCAGGTTACTACTCACTGTGATGCCCCTATAGTTATTTAGGTCATACTTCTCACCATTTTTAAATATTGGCGTGATCAAATTCTCCTTCCAAATTTCTGGAAAATGTCCCGATTCTAACAAGAGGTTGAATAATTTCAAGATGGCGTTTTTTAATAGAGGACTGCCTGTGTTTCAGCATCTCATTAGAGATTCCATCTGAGGCACAGGACTTTTTATTCTTTAGAGTTTTTAATTTTTCTGTTAACTCATTTAATTGTATTGGAATATCTAAATGGTTTAGCTGCTGATCTTTAATAGTATTTTCTAATATATGTAATTGGAAGGTCAGATGTTTTTTGTTTTTGGGTCAATTCTTTTTGTGAATATAGCTTTTCGAAATGTTTGGTCCAGAATTTTGGGTCTTGAATGGGAATTTGTTTCGAATCTTTGGATTGATGTAATTTTTTCCATAATTCCCAAAACAAATTTTGATCGAAAACCTCCTCAATTTGATGCAATTTTAACTTTAAGTGATCAGCTTTCTTTTCTTTTAATAGTGATTTATAAATTTGGAGTGTTTGTTGGTATTTTCCTCGTGTGTGTGTGTCTCTGTTTTTTATTTGACAATTGTCTCAATTCTTTTCTTGTATTTTGACATTCTTTTTCAAACCAGCCAGCTGTAGTTTTTCCTTTTTTAGATTTGTATTTCAGATTTTTCCTCAGAGTTTTTTGGGCAACTGTTGAAAAAAATATTGGTCAGCTGTTCGGTTGCTAAATTTATAGTTTGTTCCTCTACCAAATGGAGTCAGTATAAATGCATTGATCATGTTCTCCACTTGAGTGTTGTGGAGCTCTGCTTCATACTGGGCAGGACTGTCTTTACTCCAGATTAATTTAGGTGGCAGGGGATGCGAGAATAGGCAGGCATTCTGTGATCTTTTCAGACTGAGAACAATGTGGCTGTGGTCTGAAAACGGCAGTTTGTGGCATCACTGTAAAATAGTTAATTACTGTGGTCAATGTCTGTTATGGCATAGTCTACTGTGCTGACCCCTAGGTGTAAACAATATGTTGGTCGACTCAGAGAGTCACCCTTTGTTCTGGCATTCACTATATGCACCTAGGCTATTGCAAAGCTGCAGGACTTTTTCCATGTTTGTTTATGATGTTGTCTTAGTTTTGCCTCATTTTATCAAAACATGTTTGGTCATATGTGTAAGCCAATAGTATATTTGTTGCCGTCTGAAGGTGGCGCAAAGATACATGTCCTCACCTAAACATAAAAGCTCTTTTTTAATTTTTATCCAAATATGTGTTGTTCCTTTTTTTTTACAGGCTGAAGAATATACCACCACAGGTGATCTTTAAACCAAACTATAATTCCTCCTGAATCTCTTCCATTTTTACCATTAGGCTGTTTGATTTAAGGGACACAAAGCTCTCTGTAGTTTGGGGGAGTGTGGGAACTAGAGTCTAAACGACTCCATGCCTCAAGTAATATAATTATATCTGTATTATCTACAATATTTACAAATCAGGGTAAGTAGTTTTCTCCCCAAAGGCTGAAGAGAACATTCCTTGAATATTATAACTTGTTATTTTAAAAGAAGCCATTGAGTAATAGCGCAATTAACAGAATAATGTACGAGCTTATGACCCGAATAAATAATAATAATAATAATAATCAAATAGCAGTAATAATAAATATAAATACAATTCTATAGGTCATTTCATGACTATAAAATATACAATGACTAGATCATTTTTACAGACTACATATCCACTGTAAATCTATCCTAATAAATTGTTGCAAATCATTTTCAGAATTTGTTTAATCTGTGTAAGGTCACTGTGGTCAGATCCACTTCTGTGTGCCACTACAGTGGTGTAGCTGTCCGCTTAGTTGACGGAGAGATGCTCTATCCACTCTTCGTGGCTCCAGGGTGTTTTTTGAGCACTGTTCAGGTTTGATGCCTTGATAGTTTTTGCGAAGTCTCATGCCCTCTTGGTGGATGTGTATATGATCATATAGGTGTGTATATATATATATATATATATATATATATATATATATATATATATATATATATATATATATATATATATAGTAACTGTTTGAAAAATAAATGGTTTACATAAGACATACACAGCTGTGGCCATTTTCATTTAAGTAATAAAAGAGATCCATTTGTATAAATGTTAGTGTGCTAATTTAGCGAACCTATTGTAAGGAAACCTCAAACTTTTTATAGCTACACTGCATGGCATCTTGAAGCCGTTTTTTTTTTTTCTTTTAAGCATCATTCATGACAAAGCGGGGGCTGGATTGCACTGACAAACTTTACTTCCTCAGTATTCAGAATCAGAGAGAAAGACAGGCAGTCTGTATAAACAATTTATTTTTCTTCATCTGCAGGTCTGTTTCATCTGCATGATGCAAGTCTATCTGGGTGAGTCTCACTTTTTTTATCAATGAACAGATGCGTGTACAGAGATGTTTTTTTTAATTTTTAAGGAAAAATAGAAGAATAGAGTTTTGGAAAAAAATTCAGGTGATATCTGGAACCAACTTTAATATTGTGCACAAATATTTGGTCAAATAGGTTCTTTATTGATGGCCTCCACCCATCATGCAGAAAACATGCGCAGGTGGAAATTTACAGTTAATAGGTAAAATTTCTTTAAAAATATTTAATTTTAACTAAATCATTGTTTTCTTTTGTAAAAGGTGAACTAGCTTTAATGTCCCAGAAATTGCTGCGTCTTTTTAACACATGTTTGGGTCAAATATACACTCTAAAAAATATTGCTTAGACCAAACAAAAAAAATCAACGCAACAGTTTGCATCAATATTTTCAAGTTACGGCAACATCTAACAAAATGAAGTTCAGACAGCAAACTTTATTATGTTAGCCAAATTATCTTTACCTCTTCAATCAGAGGTATTTTTACATAGCATAACCTCAATTTTTTTAAGTTGAGTACTTAAAAAATTAAGTTGTTCCAACTAGCTTTTTTTTATTAACATTTAAACAAAAACCAGTGTTATGTACTTAATTACCATAATTATACATGCTAGTTTTCAAGTTTAGAATCTCAAAAAAATTAAGTAGCTGAAATAAAATTTTTTGTTTGTTTTCATATTATTGTTAATTTAGGTGCTTGTAAGAAATACATTTTTAAACAACAGCAATTTTAATTTCAGTAACTTTTTATTTATTTAGAAACACAGTTTTCAGTGTTTTATTTTAAATATTGCACTTCTCAAAGTTTACAAAACACAAATGTGTACTGTCTCACAAATTATAAACAAACTTACCCGTCAGCTTTGCCTTCAAAAATGTGCATGCATGCATAGCTATGCCATCACAATGAATTCCAACAAAACAAGAGTTATAGGCATTGATACACTTAAAGCTAACTATTAACTTATAAATTGTACATTTTACAAACTACTTGTTATTAGCTAACCTTAATTGTTAAACATGTAACATTTGTATTATTATAAACAAACATATGTAAATGCCACCATTCATATAAACAGTATGAAATAAAAAGATCAGCATGTGGACTTCAAAATACAAAACAATATAGTTGCAACATAAAGAGCTAAATGTACTTTGAAATAAGTAGAGGCTTCAGAAAATGCTGTTCTTGAGAGGCATTACTTTTGCACTGGGCTTCAGTCCATCAAGTTCAAGAAACAGCTTATGAAACACTTAACAAGTATATTTAAGCTCCTTGGGGTAGCTCAGATTCAGAGCACATATTATCAGCAGAGCACAACACCTTGAGATATCCATTCCAATCAGGATTCTGATTCCCTCAACAATGATGGTTCCCGTCTTGTGGTTTAATTCCATAGTTGACAGATCACCAATGATTCTTGTGTATTCTTGTAAAGCAAGATAAAAAAAAAAATAGATTAGCATGATAGAGATAATTAAATTTATAATTACTTCAGTTTTTTATTTTTACTTACATTTGATTTCAGTTAATCTCTGGAAACTTTGTTTTATTTTACCCCTTACATGGTCATGCACCCAGCTACTCAATCATAAGAATAATTCGTTTCACAATGTAATTTAAATGGAAAAGTGAAACGCAACAGTCATACCCATTTTACAAATCTTTCTCATTATTGTCAACATCTGTTTATTGAACTAAATAGTACATTGTTATTATAACACAGAGCTAGGTAAACCCAGTGTGTGTGGTCAATGTAATATACCTACACATTAAACTAAAAGAGAGCAGTCATTGAGCATATATTTTGTCTTGTATGTTTCCACTGTCAAGGGAAGATTTAATTTTAATTTTAAAACATTGTAATACTCACAGCAAACTCCTTAAAAAGATCCTCTTCTTTCTCTCCAAGTTAGACAACAAGACAGTGAATGGCTACTTCTCTCCATACTTCAACTGCATTGTTCTGTTTAATTAGAAAAATATATATCAAGATAAAGTACCTACAGTAAATGAATATAGTTTTATCTGAACAAACAACTGATGGCAACCTGACAATTTAACACAAATCTAAACTAGTCTATTGTGTACAAATTATTTACAATACCTCAAGAAGCATATCCTTAATCCTTCTGATTCTTTCCCCTTTAGCTCCTCCCCTTGATGAGGCCAGGTCCATTAGTTTTGCGGTGCATTTGTCAAGTTTGGCTATAAATGTGGATTCAAGACCTACAGTGGTTATCCTCTTGAGTTCTTCATTTATCTGTAGAAAAAATAGAATAATTAAATAATGGAATAATTGCATACAATGTGTAACACAACAAATAACATGTAATATGTTATTGTTGTAAGAAGTTTTTAGCATAAATAACTTCAAGATGATTTTCTCGCAAAATTGTGAAACTAGACTAAAAATAAAACTAAACTTACCTGTGTTGCATCTGATAATGCAGGCCAGCGCTCCAAGATATCCCTTATTTCTTGCCCATTTTATCTGCAACAACTTGAAAATTGTTAATTTTTGTTACTTCATGCAAAAGGTTTACATTACATAGATTTGTGGACTGTAAGATGGGCTTTACAACCCAAGCAGGACTGTAAAATACCTTTGATGATGGGTCCAGATGCTGATCGAGATTATAAAATTTAACTCTTTAACAACCTCTTCTATACACCTGTAAGATACATTAAAAGTGCTCTCCAGTTTTAGAAACAACAAAGCCATTTTTTTTCTATGCAGTTTGGCAGGTCTGTCACATCATTATTGTCATCTTGACCTTCATCAGACAGCTCCCCACTTTGACCTTCCACATCACTGTGTTGATCTGCATTGAATGAACATACATACCTTTTTATTATGTCTGCCTTGAAGTCATGCAATGAGTGAGGAGTATGTTTTCGGCTTCTGTGGGAAGCAAATGTACCATAAATGTTAGTTCTGAAATTGCAGTTCTGAAATACACAGATGACAGTTTCGTGTTTTTTTTTTTTTATTTCTATGGAAATTGTCATGGCATTGCAACAAGGACAAGTAAAATAAAAACTTTCTGCAAATCTGGAGGTTTTCTAAGTTTGATCTCTTGATAAATGTGATCTAAGGCTGCCCCATGTTCTGAAAAAACACAAACAATCTTGACAGAGGCATTGAAATGGTTGCCCACAATTACCATGGTGTAGTCTGTAATGTTTTAGCAAAACTATTTATGTTGATGTTTAAAATTCAAAAACAATGAGGGGGAAAACAGTTCACTAAAAATTATTAGTTTACATTTTATTTTTAAAACTGTGGAAACATAACTAGTTCAGACGTAGACAAATTTTAATGTCATGAGCAAAATTTTGTAATAAATTGTATAAATGAGTTTGTACAGATTCAAACAAATTTCATACAAATTTGTACAGATTCATACGAAAATTCATACAAATCAAAAAGTTACGAATTTGTGTGAGATAGTGTTTTTCATTCCTATTATAAAAGAGTAAATTCTGGAACTATATTGAATATCTTCAGTTCATTTTGGCTGCAAGTTTCATCCCAAGACATTAAGCGTCTGTTTTTAGCCCAGTAACTAAAATTCAGATACGATAATAATTTGACCCATGAGGCATAAATTGTTTATTTAACTCGTTATAATGGGATGATTTCACCTGTTCTTCTTTTATGATAATACTAGCTTTATATTCAGGAACTTAAAGTTTTAACTGTAAAATATGCCACACAACTACTAGTTTATATGATTTTATCCTAGAGGATTACAGTTATTTATGAAGGTTATAAAATGCTAATTTTTTTTGCACATTTGTAAATAAAACTTATAGGTTAAATATTTAATTTCATGATTTAACCCAGTGATTTAGTTTGTCTGTACTTCACATTAATTTGCGATGAAACACCCAATCATTTTTTGTTTTTGAGTTGCTTTACACTGTCTCTGTTATCTGGTTTCTACTGTATTGGTGATAATGCACATATATGAACCTAGACAACGGCTGAATGATGCTCCATATTCTTCCCATATAAGCAAACAACACACAGCTCTGGGTACAATTAAAGTTATCAAATTCATTATTTAATTTTGATCGCAAGTTTGTGTTTGTGTCCTGAGCTTAAGAAATAAAAAAAAACTATACAAAAGCACGCACATCCCTCTTAACTGGGTGCTCAGCCAAAAAACGCAAAAAGTGCATATGAAAAATTCATCAAAGGTGGAAACACCAAAGCTCCAAAAATACAAATCTATTAAATTAAAAAATGTAATTAACTTTAATAAAAAATTTAATAAAAAAAGCTTTGTGTCAGCTAAATTTGTATTTTTGGAGCTTTGGTGTTGCGGCCTTTGATAAATATTTAATTTGTCCTTAGCTTAAGGCAATCATCTGATCTTAATGAGTTAATAGAAATTATTTATTAAAATTAATGAGACATGTATTGGAAAAAAAATCGTCCCACTCTTAAGCAGAACTTGGGGAAAAATAAAAGAATTCAAATTTAACAGAATGGCTAACTATTGTGACTTTAGCTATGTGTTAGTATATAAAGAGCTTCAAAATAAAAGAAACCCTCAGGATTGACCTTTTACTTAAGTGGTACATGCTCCTTAAGTATTAAGAACTTTTTAAAATGGAAAGAGTTGTGGTAATTGTGTTAATTCCGTTGTTTAGTTGGATTGAACATTTCATTTAAAAAAAAAATTGAAATGCAACCCTTCATCTCTGCTTACTTGCGAATGTATGGGCCTTACTTGCGAAAATGGGCGGCACGGTGTCAGTGGTTAGTATGTTATCTTTACAGTCAACTTGTTGCTGGTTCAAGTCCTGGCTGGACCAAGAAGCCTTTCTGTATGAAGTTTTCATGCTCTCCCTGTGTTCATGTTTCCTCGGTGTGTTTCAGTTTTACCATAGTCCAAAGCCATATAGGTGAATTGGATAAATTAAATTTGCCATAGTGTTCTGTAGAGTGTGTGGGTGTTTTTATTTATTTAAAACTTATTTTTAATGTAAATAAATGCATCAGTATATTTTTTTATGAACACAAGTTCTGTTGTTGGTCAACATCTGTTGTTTTTAAATGTGCTCTATAAATAAAGCAAACAAACCAACAATATCCTTTAGCTATATATGAACATGTATTATACAGTCATGTATGTGTTATATGTATGTGTCATTCAAAATATGTTGCATATACAGCATGAGCGCTGACATTTTACAACATTTGATATATTATGTAAATATATGTAGCATATGTACAAGTATGGGACATGTTTTTTCATGCATTTTTAATATCTGTGAATCCAAACATGAACATTTGAATATGTGTTTTACATATATTGCCATATATTAGAGTTCTATGTGGGAATACAGTACATGTGCATGAGCTGCACCAAGGACACTAACTGAGAGGTGACGCTCTTTATTTGTGCTTACAGGTCTTCTGCTTGCTCTGATAGAGCACAGCATGATGCAAGACTGCTTAGATGGTTATAAAAAACTAGGAGGAAAGTGTGAAGGTGTGTATAAGACTAAGACATAATGTATGAAAATGATCTTCATTTCTATTCCTTTGACAACTGTCTACTTTAAGAAACATTTACTTGCTAATATAATGCTTATTTTTTGTCATTGCTGTAGATAAGGATGAGTGTGCAAAGAAACACATTTGTGGAAAAAAAGCAAGCTGCTTCAACACTGTTGGCAGCTATTACTGTCAGTGTCACACAGGATTCATACCAGAGGGTAAACCAACTGTTAATTTCACGCAAGCAGATGGGATTCAGTGCAAAGGTAATGAAAGTTTGATTTGATACATTTCACATAACCAGCAGCAGAAACAACATCTGAATCTGTTTTTCTCATTCCAGACACCAATGAATGTGTGGAGGAAAACATTGATTGTGGCTTCAATGCAAAGTGTGTGAATACTGAAGGGGGTTATTATTGCACATGTCAATCTGGCTTCCTTTCCAGTAGTGGAAACAATCAATTTTTTGCAAACCGAGGTGTTCAATGTGTCGGTAAGATAAAGTGATTCATTACTATACTTTAGACCGGCAATCAAATTTTTACCTTTTTTATTTTTTTTTAACTCTCAGCAGTTGTATCTCTTTAATTATCTCTTTAATTTGATATGGTTGGTGAATATCATTAGGAGCCAAGCACCAAAGATGCTTGTCCTCTGGATGGCAGCCCTCTGAACCATTTCCGCCATTTGCGCAATCTTTGCTGCACCGATAGAGGGCAGACTGATTTTCAACCACAACAAATGTAGACTCTCTAACTCAAACTCTCTAGCGCCACCACTTCTCCATAGTTTTTCCACTTATGTTTATCTTTATAACTTTTGAACCGAATGGGCTACAATAAAAAAAAATTAAAAATTTCCTTGACTTAAGCCGATTCAAATGCACTTTTATTTCGAATTTTTGGTAAAACCTATTTAATGGAACTTGTCCTAGGTTGTGGTCCGATTTTCACCAGAATTGAGTCACCTGATCTACAGACCATGCTGACCAAAAGTTATGGAATTCAAGCTGATTAGACAAATTGTTTTCAATAACTTGTAAACTAATTTAATGTAGAGCATGCATTCATTTACTTAAGGTGTTATCTCTGTAATTCATTAATGTTTTCGCACCAAATTTGGTGTGGGTTATCACAGTCATGGTCTCAAGTGAGCTGCATATCAAAAATTGCGTTGTCTTTTGGATGGATTAGCGAATTGTTATAAAAGTCAGTATGCGTCTTCGGGATTGTGCCCTGAAGGTGCCTATTGTTATGATAATGTTCACATAATCTACAGACCATGCTGACCAATAGTTATGGAATTCAAGTTGATTAGACTAACTGTTTTTGATTAACTTGCGAACGAATTTAACGTAAAGCTTGGAAAAATGCACTTAAGGCAATATTTCCGTAATGCTTAGTGTATTTACACCAAACATGGTGTGTGTTATGACAACCATGGTCTAAGGTTATCTGCAGTGTTTGGCGCACTGGCCCCTAGGTGTCAGGAGATACAAAAAAATGCTATTTTTGCTTATAAAAATTTAACTCAACTTATTCCTTGGGTCAGGCCAAGAACATTGACACCATTTATGCCATATTTGTCTAAACATCCTGATATCAATTTTATTCAAACTTTTTTTTATAAACTCTTAAATTGTTTACCGAAATATCATCAAATGTGACTCAAACCATAGTCAGACCATGTTGACCAAGTGCTGTAAAGTTTGGATCAATAGACTAAACAGTTTTTGTTTACGGCTCAGACAAATGTGCTGCTATAACACCAAACTGCATCTGAGGCTGTCTCTCTGCAATGCTTAAATATATTGACACCAAACTTTAGGTTTTTTGTTTCACCTAACACTGACCTAAACATATCACATTTGTAACTCTGCCACCAAAAGTTATAAATTAATAAATTATTAATAAGTTAATTGTTTTCATGATTTTCTGATATTTTAAGTGAAACATGCTTTAAATTCATTCAAAATCTCAATGTTTCACTTGCTCTGATGCTGCTTACTAACCTTGTTGGCCTTTGGACTGCTTTGCTTATTTTGCCTCTGGACTGATTTGCTCTTTATGGCTCAACTGTTTGGCCCCTTAATTGCTATATTTCTTTTCTTTACTTCTTCCTCTTCTTCTTAGTCTTCTTCTTCCGCCGCAATTTGCATAGCAGCCTATATAGGCGTTTGCTCAAAAGTTATGAAATTCGACACACTGATAGATGACAACCTTCTAATTAACCACAGCAAGTTTGGACCTTTAACTCAAACTTTCTAGCACCACCACTTGTCCAAAAAATATGTAAAGTTTAGTTTGTTTCTATTTTTAATAGTTTGTAAAATGTACTTTTCAGCCTAGACAAAGGGTGTCCAAACTCTGTCCTGGAGGCCCGGTGTCCAACCATAATCAAACACACCTGATGCAGCTAATTAAGCTTTTACTAGATATACTACTAACTTCCTGGCAGGTGTGTTGAAGCAAGTTGGAGCTAAACTCAGCAGGACAACGGCTCTCCAGGACCGAGTTTGGAAACCCCTGTGCTAGACGATTCATCCAATTTTTTACCAGAATTAGCTCAGATCATCACTAGATCATGCAGGCAAAAAGTTATGGAGATCAAGACGATTACTTAAACCGTTGTCGCAAAACGTCCAATTTAATT